AGAGCTGGACAGGGCCGTAGAAAGTCCTTAACCCATCAGTAGGACCGGTATCTGCTCCTTTGTGCAAGGAGGAACAGGATGAGCCCTGCCAGAGCCCTACAAAATGACCTCCAGCAGGCCACTGGTGGAATGTCTCTGACCAAACAATCAGAAACAGACTTCATGAGGGTGGCCTGAGGGCACGACGTCCTCTAGTGGGCCCTGTGCTCACTGCCCGGCACCATAGAGCTGGATTGGCATTGGCCATTGAACACCAGAATTGGCAGGTCCACCACTGGCACCCTGTGCTTTTCACAGATGAGAGCAGGTTCACCCTGAGCACATGTGACAGACGTGAAAGGGTCTGGAGAAGCCATGGAGAACGTTCTGCTGCCTGTAACATGGTTCAGCATGACCATTTTGGTGGTGGGTCAGTGATGGTCTGGGGAGGCATATCCATGGAGGGACACACAGACCTCTACAGGCTAGACATCGGCACCCTGACTGCCATTAGGTATCGGGATAAAATCCTTGGACCCATTGTCAGACCCTACGCTGGGGCAGTGGGTCCTGGGTTCCTCCTGGTGTGGTGGGTCCTGGGTTCCTCCTGGTGCGGTGGGTCCTGGGTTCCTCCTGGTGCAGTGGGTCCTGGGTTCCTCCTGGTGCAGTGGGTCCTGAGTTCCTCCTGGTGCAGTGTGTCCTGAGTTCCTCCTGATGCAGTGTGTCCTGAGTTCCTCCTGGTGCAGTGTGTCCTGAGTTCCTCCTGGTGCGGTGGGTCCTGAGTTCCTCCTGGTGCAGTGGGTCCTGGGTTCCTCCTGGTGCAGTGGGTCCTGAGTTCCTCCTGGTGCAGTGGGTCCTGGGTTCCTCTTGGTGCAGTGGGTCCTGGGTTCCTTCTGGTGCACAACAATGCCCGGCCTCATGTGGTGAGACTATATAGGCAGTTCCTGGAGGATGAAGGAATTGATATCATTGAATGGCCCCCACGCTCGCCTGACCTAAATCCAATAGAACACCTCTGGGATATCATGTTTCCATCCAACCGACGCCACCAGGTTGCACCTCAGACTGTCCAGGAGCTCAATGATGCCCTGGTCCAGATCTGGAGGAAATCCCCCAGGACACCATCTGTGGTCTCATTAGCAGCCTCCCCCGACGTTGTCAGGCATGCATACAAGCACGTGGGGGCCATACAGACTACTGAGGACCATTCTGAGTTGCTGCAATGACATTTCAGCACAATGGACTCGCCTGCTGCATCATTTTTGCACTTTAATTTTCGGGGTGTCTTTGAATTCAGTCCTCTGTAGGTCGATCATTTTCATTTCCATCAAACGATGGGGCGTCCTTACATTCTTAACACATCACCCCGTCCATGTCAGTATAGAGATCCAGCAGGAGATTCCTCCCCATTGAGATCTGATGGGTTTTCAAAGTCTTCCTTTCATTTTTTTGAGCCGTGTAGATCCGCCACTAGCATCAATAGACTTCTCCCTCAACTGTAGATCACTCCCAGCAACAACTGATCCCTCCAGCAACATAAGACACCCTCAGTAACAATAGATCCCCCACTAGGAACAATAGACCCTCCAGCACACGTCAGCACCCCTTGCCATTACATACATTCAGGGGCGTCCCTAGGGTTGGTGTCACCCGGTGCGATAACAGTTGGTGACACCCCCTCCGACAATCCCCGCAGGATGGATCGGATCTGTGGATTGAGCATAATGGATCAGACTCCGATCCATTATGCTCCCCAATCTTCAGATCCGATCCATCCTGCGGGGATCGTCGGCTTTCTTTACAACTCACCTTTTCTTGGAGCGGGTCCGATGTCACCCCGTATAGGTTGCATGCCGACGATCCCCACAGGATGGATCAGATCTGCGGATTGAGCATAATGGATCGGAGTCCGATCCATTATGCTCCCCAATCCGCACATCGGATCCATCCTGCGGGGATCGTCGGCTTGCTTTACAACTTACCTTTTCGTGGAGCGGGTCCGGTGTCACCCCGTGTGGTAGGTGTCACCCAGTGCGGCGCGCACCCCCCACACCTGCCTCAGGACGCCACTGCATACATTCAGTGCTGAATGTGCCAGAACCGCGTTCCCACTGAAAAAAGCCCTACGGCATCCCATTCACTTCAGTGAGCTGCCCTATGCGCATTTGTCACCCAAAAAGAAGCTCCTCGTAGGGCAACATGCTTTATGCGATTTTCAAAAACACGTTCTGCCATGATTCTGTCGCGTGAAAATCGCACTGCGTTTTGGGTGCTATTAAGAATAATGGCATCCAAGCGCAAGCCGTGCGTTGTGACTCTATTTGGAATTGCAGGAAGAATAGTGGTGAATCTGATTGCGATTCCAAATCGCCTAATGTGAACGGAGCCTCAGTCTTGCACAGTTGTACCGGCTCCTTTCCGGGACTGAAATGGCTAACTCTGAGCTCCCCCTCATTTCCTAGCTGGAGGACGTCCAGCATCATCTAGCTCTTCTCTTCCCTAGCCTGAGGCTGGGTTCACACTGATGCGGTGAGGAATTTGCAGTGTTTTCTGTGCGAATTCCGCACCGCATCAGAATCGCACCCCGTTCATGCGAACCGCTGCGGGTGTGTATGTTACGTTAACACCCCGAAATCAGTCTGCAAAACGCGGTGCGATGTGCAGAATCGGATCGCATAGGTGTGAATACCCACGCGATCTGATTCTAGTGTGGACCCAAAAAAGGGTCCTGCACGTTTTTGGTGAGGGTGTGGTGCGATTTGAGACATACAAAATGTATGGCTCTGATCGCACCGCACACAAATGAGATGCGGTTCCTGTGCGAATCGCATGCGATAAGCCGCACCGCATCAGAATTGCACCCCGTTCATGGGAACCGCTGCAGGTGTGTATGTTAAGTTAACAACACCCCAAAATCAGTGTGCAAAATGCGGTGCGATGTGCAGCATCAGATCACATGGGTGTGAATACACGTGCGATCTGATTCTAGTGCGGACCCAAAAAAGAGTCTTGCGGGTTTTTGGTGCAGATGCGGCTCCAATCGCACCACACACAAATCACATGTGATTTGCAAAGGAATGCAGTGCGGTTCTCAGGGGCGGACTGACCATTTGGAAACTCGGGCAATGCCCGAGGGCCCGAGGCCAGTGGGAGGCCCCATGAGATGCCCCTGGTACCTTTTTCATAGGCTTTTTTGAGTTTGGGCAAGGACACAGGGGCCCCATGATCCCCTATTGAAGGCCCGGGGTGAGTAGGGGGCCCCATGAGATGCCCCTGGTACCTTTTTCATAGGCTTTTTTGAGTTTGGGCAAGGACACAGGGGCCCCATGATCCCCTATTGCCCAGGGACCCCATGAGTTGTCAGTCCGCCCCTGGCGGTTCTTGTGCGAATCACATGCGATGTACCTACCGCATTTGTGTGAACCCAGCCTGACTGTCCTTGGCCCCGCCCCCTTTCATTCATTGGATTTCAGTTCTTTCAATCATGGAGCCTCAGCATCACATGTGGGCGTTACCTATGCAAATACAGCATGACTAGGACCACCCACTCCTCCAGACCACCCCCCCCCCACCCATGGAGGCATTTTGATACACACTGTTCACCTGTGAGATACAAATGAATATTGCTACTTTTGTATCTACTGTTTCATTCATTTGCATAACTCCTCCCAAGAGCCAGCCCACTGCTTGCATCAGGGCCGAGGGCTCCTGGGAGGAGTACTGAGAAAGGGTGCTGTTTGTTTTTTTTTTTTTCAGGAAGCCAACTACAGCACCCTTCCGGCCCCACCCACCAGCCATGATCTGCCTGCATTGCATAGAGAAGCACAGAGACCCAGCAATGACATTAAAAATAATAAATGTAATGGCAATGAATGTCATTATTTGTTGATGCGGCAGGAGAAGGCGAAATATTATCAGATTAAACTTCAGCTGTAAGTCCAGGCCAGGGGCGGACTGACAACTCATGGGGCCCCTGTGTCCTCGCCCACACTCAAAGCACACCCAAAAAAGCCTATAAAAAAGGTACCAGGGCATTTCATGGGGCCCCCTACCAGGGGCGGACTGACAACTCATGGGGCCCCCCGGCAATAGGGGATCATGGGGCCCCTGTGTCCTTGCCCAAACTCAAAAAAGCCTATGAAAAAGGTACCAGGGGCATTTCATGGGGCCCCCTACTGACCCCGGGCCCTCGGCAGTGCCCGAGTTTCCAAATGGTCAGTCCGCTCCTGCCCCCTACTAACCCCAAGCCCTCGGGCAGTGCTTGAATGATCAGTCCGCCCCTGGTCCAGGCTCGCTGGGAAGATGCTTTGCAGGCGGTTGCCCTGTGCTAGGCGCTCAGTGTTGGCACCGATTGAAGCTTGTCACTGAGTCACGGAGCAGCTGTATCTGGCTGAGCATCTGAAGCGCCCGGCCTGGAGGACGTCCAGAGAATAAAGTAAGACGGAGTTCTGGACGGAGCCGAGCGCTGAAAGGAGAAAAGAAAAATCGTCTTCCTGGAGGAAGAGCGGAACCTCGAATGAATGAAAAGCACGACTTCCCGCGAAGGCTCTCCTGGAGGGGCCGCGGGCTGCACTGTGCATCGGACGCAGAGGACACCTCATGGTGAATCATAGTCAGGAGCTCCGGGGGGATCACAATGAACATTTATTGCCGGGCGGCTGGTGGCGGGGCGTGCGCTGCGCTGTGGTTTCCTGGGGTTGTGTGTTTGTTCTATTGCCTGCTTCATTCACAAACTATTTCTGCTATTTCCAGATATTTTCGGCGGTAGAAACGTGCGTCCCGAAACGCCAAATCCTCATACAACTGACATTCCAGCTATGGGAGGATGCTGGGGGAGGGGTGCATTCTTTACTGTTGGGACCAGGGGCCGACTGACAACTCATGGGGCCCCCGGGCAATAGGGGATCATGGGGCCCCTGTGTCCTTGCCCAAACTCAAAAAAGCCTATGAAAAAGGTACCAGGGGCATCTCATGGGGCTCCCTACTGACCCCGGGCCCTCGGGACGTGCCCGAGTTTCCAAATGGTCAGTCCGCCCCTGGTTGGGGCTCATTCACACTAACCCTAGGTTCCCATCTGTGTGGGTGGTGCCGCTGCAGATCCGCACGAAAATCCGTGCAGCCGCACCACCCGCACAGAGGAATGCGGACCCGCGGGTGGGGGCCATTAGTTCTAACGGCGCGCCGCCCGCACTGGGAAATCGCAACCGTACTGGGAACCTCGGCTGCGTTTTCAGAAGAAGTGCAGGAACTTCTTCCCTGCGTGTCACGGGGCACAGGAGTCCATTCAAATGACTGGGCTCTAGTGCCCGCACGGCCGTATAAATGTGAACCGGGGGTAACGGTTGAGGGGCAGTAAAACTCCATGCTTGAGCTGCATCTTTAAGACCCCCAACCGCTACCCCCTCTGGCTGCCGTGGCAGCGGCCGTGGGTGTACACATGCTGCAGCCACAATAGACGCGCGCAGAACCAAAATAAATAGTTTCGTTTCCTTACTTAAATCAATTGTTTTTGGAATTCGTTTCATTTCATTTATTCATTTTCGAATTTGATTCGAATTCAATTTGATCAAATTAGGGAACTTTGAATCGCCATTCGAATTTTATTCTTTTCTTTTGGTTTTTCTTTTTCTATTCTATTCCTTTCTATTCTATGCTATTCTAATCTATTCTATGCAAATTCAAATATATTCTGGGCAGCACAGTGGCTGAGTGGTTAGCACTTCCACCTGGCAGAACTAGGGGCGTTGGTTCGAATCCCCACCATGGCCCCACCTGCCTCCAGTGCAGAAATACCAACAAGCACTCTTTTTAATTTGGCTCGAGTGTGTTAAAATGTAACAATGTAACCATGACATGGGCAGCACAGCGGCTAAATGGTTGGCACTTCCACCTGGCAGTAGTAGGGTCGTTGGTTCAAATCCCAACCACAGCACCACCTGCCTGGAGTTTGCATGTGCTCCCTGTGCCTGTGTGGGTTTCCTCCGGGTACTCTGGTTTCCTCCCACACGTCAAAGACATGCTGGTAGGTGAACTGGCTCCTGTGTAAATTGTCCCGTGTATGTATGAATGTGAGTTAGGGACCTTAGATTGGACACCCCTTGAGGGTTAGGGACTGATGTGAATGTACCAGGGGCGGACTGACCATTTGGAAACTCGGGCACTGCCCGAGGGCCCGGGGTCAGTAGGGGACCCCATGAGATACCCCTGGTACCTTTTTTCATAGGCCTTTTTGAGTTTGGGCAAGGACACGGGCCCCATGATCCCTTATTGCCCGGGGGCCCCATGAGTTGTCAGTCCGCCCCTGGAATGTACAATATATATGTAAAGTGCTGAGTAAATTGATGGCGCTATATAAGTACCTGAAATAAATAAATATTTGAATTTCGAAAGACTTTCTATTCTGTTGTTTATTCTATTCTATTTTTTTTCTACTCCAGTTGATTTCAAATGTATTCTAACCGAAATTCACATTCTGGAAGATAGTTATATTCTTTCTATATTATTCTATTCTATTGTTTTTTATTCTGTTCTTTTCTATTCTATTCTGTTCTTTTATATTGCATTCTATTTTATTCTATTGTATTCAATTCTTTTATGTTCTATTCTATTCAAATTTTAATTTTGTCCGAATTTCGTTTTGTTATTTCAGATTATTATTCTAATTCAGAAATTCAGATACATCTGAATTTCCAAACAAAAAATTCATCCAAATTTCGATTTGGAACAAAAAGAATTGCACGTGCCCCGATGCTGTGCTTCGCAGCCGCAGCAAGAATTATACTCACTGACAATTTCAGCGGGCCCAACACCCACCAAATGTGACTTATTCAAGTTAATGGGGCCGCTCATTTGAATTTTATTCTATTCTATTGTTTTTTCTTTTCTATTCTATGCTATTTTAATCTATTCTATGTGAATTCAAATTTAATGAATATCTACCGACCTGATATCCATCTACCACCCAAAACGCACTCTCCGCTCCTCACAAGACCTCCTACTCTCCAGTTCCCTGGTCTCCTCCTCCCATGCCCGCCTCCAGGTCTTCTCCAGGGCTTCCCCCATCCTCTGGAACTCACTACCCCAATCCATCAGAGTGTCACCTACCCTCCCCACCTTTAGGCGCACACTGAAAACCCATCTCTTTAGAGAACCCTACCCCGCCCTCACCTAATTGCTGATCCCCACCGCTCTTCCCACCAGTCCATCCCCCACAGGTATTTCCTCCTGTACCACTATCCCCTCCCTCCTAGATTGTAAGCTCCCAGGATCAGGGCCCTTGAACCCCTCGTGTATTGTATTGTTGCTGTATTGTCTCCCATTATAATGTACAGCGCTGAGCAAACTGTTGGCGCCATAAATCCTGTATAATAATAATAATGTATTTGAAATTTGAACTTCAGAAGACAGTTACATTCTTTCTATTTTATTCTATTGATTTTTCTATTCCATTCTGTTCTATTCTTTTTTATTTTAGTTGAATTCAAATTTATTTTAATCGAAATTCAAATTCTGGAAGACAGTTATATTCTTTCTATTTTATTCTATTCTATTTTTTTTATTCTGTTCTTTTCTATTCTATTCTTTTGTAGTCTATTATTTTTAAGTCTATTCAATTCCTTTATGTTCTATTCAATTCTTTTTGTTTTCGAAGTTGAATCAAATTAGATTCAAATTTGAATTTCGTTTCGTTATTTCGGATTCGTTACTATTCTAATTCGGAAATTCAGATACATCCGGATTTCCGAATAACTAAAAATTTTGATTTGGAACAGAAGGAACTGCACATGTGCAGGCCACAACAGGGGCGGACTGACCATTCGAGCACTCGGGGGGGGGGGGGTCAGTAGGAGGCCCCATGAAATGCCCCTGGTATCTTTTATAGGCTTTTTTGGGTGTGCTTTGAGTGTGGGCAAGGACACAGGGGCCCCATGATCCCCTATTGCCCGGGGGCCCCATGAGTTGTCAGTCCACCCCTGAGCCACAATGATTTGATTCGCTGCCGCAGCAGGCATAACACCCACCAAATTCTTATTCGAGTGAATTGGGCCGCTCTGCAAGTGCCCCGCCACTGTGTGTAATGCCCGTGGTTGTGGCATGCTAGTGTGGGGATCAAGTGGGTTCAAGCAGGTGGTGAGGAGGCAGTACAATACCTCCTCACTGCCTGCCAAATGCTCTTTAAAGAGCGATTCAAGTGCAGATTGCTCTTTAGAAGGCACCACACACATGAACAAGTTCTTATATTTGGGGGAATCTCAGCTTAGGTACCCCTATAATCTATTATCAGGACAAACAAGGGAGCCACAGTTGCTAGCCCTTTAAAAATAAATACATGTTAAAGGAAAGCTCCGGGCAACGCGGTAAAGTCAGTCATCTGGTTACACGTTTGGTTATTGAAAAATTTAAAAAAAGACCCGCCAAGGGTTGGGGTCTGCAATCAATAGGCCTTGATGGGTGGATGTGAGTCTGCATGAGTGGCCATTCCCCCATGTGATGCTGAGCCTTCATAACTGAAAGAACTGAAATCCAATGAATGAAAGGGGCGGAGCCAGGGACAGTCAGGATGGGAAGGAAAGCGCTAGATGGTGCTGGACGTCCTCCAGCCAGGAAATGAGGCGGAGCTCAGTCTGACTTGCTGCAGCTTCTAATGCACATTGGGAGAAGCTCACAGTGTGCAGTGAAGTCAGAGGAAGCCATTTCAGTCCAGGAGAGGAGCCGGTACAACTGTGCAAGACTGGAGGGGAGGAGTCAGTACACTTGTGCAAGCCTGAAGGGGAGGAGCCGATACACCTGTGCAAGACTGAAGGGGAGGAGTCAGTACACCTGTGCAAGACTGGAGGGGAGGAGCTGGTACACCTGTGCAAGACTGAAGGGGAGGAGCCGGTACAACTGTGCAAGACTGAAGGGGAGGAGCCAGTACACCTGTGCAAGACTGAAGGGGAGGAGTCGGTACACCTGTGCAAGACAGAAGGGGAGGAGTCGGTACACCTGTGCAAGACTGGAGGGGAGGAGCTGGTACACCTGTGCAAGACTGAAGGGGAAGAGCCAATACACCTGTACAAGACTGGAGGGGAGGAGCCGGTACACCTGTGCAAGACTGAAGGGGAGGAGCCGGTACACCTGTGAAAGACTGAAGGGGAGGAGCCGGTAACCTGTGCAAGACAAAAGGGGAGGAGCTGGTACACCTGTGCAAGACTGAAGGGGAGGAGCCAGTAAGTACAACTGTGCAAAACTGAAGGGATGGAGGCGGTGCACCTGTGTAAGACTGAAGGGGAGGAGTCGGAACACCTGTGCAAGACTGAAGGGGAGGAGCCAGTACACCTGTGTAAGACTGAAGGGGAGGAGTCAGTACACCTGTGCAAGACTGAAGGGAAGACCGGAGGTCAGCTTTAATTACTAGAGTGGGAAGGGGTTACAACACCTGTCAGGTTTTTATTGCGCTCTGTCTTTTTGTTCTAGTGACACCATCTTCCTCCCATTTCTTGTCCTGGTGTCACCTGGACAGGAAGTAAAGGGAAATCACCCCAGTGAAGAGGTGGCATTAGAAACTTGACTACAATAAAACATTTGGGCTGGAGTTGGCCTTTAATGGTGCTTACTTTCATGGTGTTTACTGCAGATCCAGACCAGGATCTTTGTGTCCAGAAATAATTACTAGGCGGCTTAGCCCTGTCCGTTGTCAGCTCCTCACAGATCCCCACAGGTCAGTACAGCTCCCCACAGGTCCGTACAGCTCCTCACAGGTCCGTCAGCTCCTCACAGGTCCGTACAGCTCCTCACAGGTCCGTACAGCTCCTCACAGGTCCGCACAGGTCCGCACAGATCCTCACAGGTCCGCACAGCTCCTCACAGCTCCGCACAGGTCGGCACAGATCCTCACAGGTCCGTACAGCTCCTCACAGGTCCGCACAGGTTGGCACAGATCCTCACAGCTCCACAGGTCACAGGTCCGCACAGCTCCTCACAGCTCCGCACAGGTCCGCACAGCTCCTCACAGCTCCGCACAGGTCCGCACAGCTCCTCACAGCTCCGCACAGGTCGGCACAGCTCCTCACAGCTCCGCACAGGTCGCACAGCTCCTCACAGCTCCGCACAGGTCGGCACAGCACAGCTCCG